CAGGTTTGTTTATGTATATATTTTCTTTGAAATCTGGTGCTGCTTATCTGTAGTCCTTTCGCTACGGCGAGGTTGATTGATCTACATCCATTATTGTTTAAATTGGTATGTAGGCTTTCCATACCTGCTACATTTTCATAGGTGTTGTCTCTTCCTATTTTTGCATTGAAATCTTCTAAGACAATCAGTATGTCTCGTTTTTTAGCTTCATTTGTGATATTCTCAAGGAGATCATGGAATTCTTCTTTGATATCATCTTCTTGTCTTCAGTGGGTGCATGCACAATAATCATCGTGATATTGTTCTATTTTCCTTTTGTTCGTAGCTTACTGATCCTATCACTAACAGCTTCCAAATTTATACTTTCCCACAACTGTTTCTTGGTATAAACATATAACGTTCATCAAAATTTCCTTTTTTATCTCAGAAAGGTAAATAACTCTGTAGCACTGCGCGTGTGATAGTACTCGCCTTGGTTCTTTCCCTTCAAATCAAATTTGCAATTTCAAAAACTGGTCTTTGTATCTGCCTGCGGGACCTCCTGGACGCCTGGACACACCGATCGCGTTCCTTAGAGGCCCCACAACCTAAATATGCCAAATCTATTTTTTTTTTTTCAGTTTCAAAGCTCATATTTTATTGTCTAAATATTTGTATCGATGAATCTTTGCTAAAAACTTCTTCAGTGTCAAAACACTAATTGTTTCAAGGCTCGTAGCTTTAAAAAATATTTTTTTTTTTTTACATTTAATGGATAGCAATCCAGTCATCTCCTTGTGAGATGCAATTTGTCGTTATTTAAAGCCCCACACTAGCTCTTGCCAGGGGCCGCAACATAGCCATAAATATGGTCTAATGGCTGAACGCGGTTTCTGGGACCTCTCCACGGTGATCCGCATCCATGCGGTGGCACTTTGTGTCATCGGGTGTGATGTCCTGGTGGGTTAAAAATCTACTACTACTTCTTCCTCTTCTTTTGTCAAAATCTGCTTGTGCCGCTAGGCGTCGCAGTCCATCAGATGATCGGCAACCGAGCCAGGGTGCGCTCAGTCGCTTCATATGCCGTGACGTTATGAAGTCTCAAGTTGTCCGTGACTCCTTCAATCCATCTTCTTCTTGGTCTTTCCCTGCCTCTTGTTGTTTCGATTTTCATGTTGTATGCTCTTGATGCTGGCATCGTTGGTTCCATTCTCATTAGGTGACCAAACCATTTCATTCTTTGCTTCTCAATAAATTTAACGATGGGTATGGTTCCACTAGTTCTTGTAATCACATGAACTACTACTACTACTACTACATTTTATCGACAATGCCCAAGTTGTCAGTTCTCTGGGCAGGGCTGGTACACTTGCTTATTCGGGAGCCTACAATTCTGTCGAGACTTCTCTGTTAGTGCTGAAAGTGATCCTATAGATGTTAGTGTCGTTCGAGTCTGAAGTGTTCGGCCTTGGAGTTTGCTAGGTCGTTACAAATATGATATGTTGAGCGCTTTTCTTCCTCGTCCCACTTTCTTTTACAGACAATTCCCAGATAATGCTGTCTTGTGGCACAACCAGTTTTATTAGTCTGGGTCGAGAAATTAAATACCAATAAAAACCGGCATTACTGTGTGTATTTGCCACGTTGCGATGTACGGATGCGCGTTCTTTGAACCAGGGGATTTGGGGCCGCATGGGTAGTGCTGTCGCCACAGACAGTGCAAGTTAGGATTTTATTTGTGCCCCCTACAAATAAAACTTACCAAGGATTCGAACCAAGGTCTCCCACTTGACAGCCCAGCGTTCTATCCGTCAAAAAACTTAAATCCTGATTCTGACCAGAGTTGAGCCTAGAGTATTTCTTAGCAGGCAAGCGTGTTACCTACTGTGTTACATTGACGAAGTCAAGTTTACATCGTAACTCTTTGACTAGGCCAGGCACGTCTACATGCGCGCGCGCGCACACATACACACACATACACACACACATACACACACACATACTCACACATACACACACACATACACACACATGCACACACTTGTAGACAATAGCTTCACAGTGCCAAACCAGATGCCGTTATAAGTTCGTCAAATCCTGAGACAAAGACAACCAATCATAAAATATGAACCAAATAGAATGAGGAAGCAATGGTGTCCAGGAGAAACCCAGCGACGAAGGCCGATCTGGGAGGCCTGAGTTGCCGGAATGGATTTAATAAATGATATCGAAATGTTTGCATACCATAAGACGGTATTGACGAATCTACTGCTCGCTATGTGTAGTGCATAATCTACATTCCTGGATGAGGAAGGAATTCTGACTCACTCGACACCAGTGAAGGCTTTGTATCCTGACACCCTCAGCACCAGTAAAGGCTTTGTATCCTGACACGCTCAGCACCAATAAAGGCTTTGTATCCTGACACACTCAGCACCAATAAAGGCTTTGTATTCTGACACACTCAGCACCAATAAAGGCTTTGTATCCTGACACACTCAGCACCAATAAAGGCTTTGTATCCTGACACACTCAGCACCAATAAAGGCTTTGTATCCTGACACACTCAGCACCAATAAAGGCTTTGTATCCTGACACAGCACCAATAAAGGCTTTGTATCCTGACACAGCACCAATAAAGG